AAACCTGCCCCCCCCAGGGGGACCCCCCGGCCCCCCCCAGCCCCCCCATGGCCACCCTTGGCTCCTTCCCCGCCACGGCCGCAGTGCCAGCAGTTGCCAGCAGCCGCGTCTGAGCGTGTCCCCCGGGAGGGGACAGCGGTGTCCCCCCCTCCAGCTCACCTGTGCCCGCACCTCTCCCCGCAGCAGGGCCCGCAGCTGGGCCAGGATGCTCTGCTGGAGCTGCTCCCAGGAGACACCCCGCTCCTCCCGCAGCACCAGCGGCGGCCCGAACCTGGGGACAGCGGGGGACACCAGCTGAGGGGGGGACACCCCCGCGGCCCCTCATGCTTGGGGGGCAAGGAAGGGAGGGCGGCACGCAGGCAAAGCGCAGGCAGGGCGGGCAGGTCCCGGGGGAGCGGGGGGCCGGTGCCCGCCGTGTTGCAGAGCAGGAGCAGGATGCGGCCGCCCGCCCCGCGGTGCAGGCAGTCGGAGGAGCGGGCAGCAGCGGGCAGCAGGCGCTGCCCCTCCGGCCGGGCCGCCCCGGGGGAGGCGGGCAGGCTGCGGGGGCACCCTGCGGGCGGGGCAGGGCACGGGTGAGCGCCCAGTGCCGCGCGGGGTAATTAGGGGGCTCTCGTTTAGCGCAGGCGTTAATTAGCGTGCAGGGGTCCCCTGCCGGGTCCCCTGCCTGCTGCTGGGGCTGCCTGTGCTCCCCTGCCTGCAGCGCTGCCTCCTGCACCCCCAGGCTTCCCACCAATCACGGCCCAGGGACAAGGCCTCTGCCAATCACAGCAGAGCATGCCTGCCTCCCACCAATCAGGGGCAGGAGGGGAGCGGGAAAACAAGACTACCACCAATCACAGCAGAGCACATCTTCCTCCAACCAATCACTGCAGAGCACACCTGCTTCCAACCAATCATGGGGCTAGGGGGAAGGGAAAACAAGGCTCCTACCAATCAGGGGAAAGCACACCTGCCTCCAACCAATCGTTGCAGAGCACACCTGCCTCCCACGAATCATGGGGGGGGGAGTGTGTGTGGAAACAAGGCTCCCACCAATCACAGCGGAGCACACCTGCCTCCCACCAACCACAAGTGCCAAGACTCACACCAATCACAGCAGAGGGGACATAGCTCCCACCAATCATAGCAAAGCACACCTGCCTCCCACCAATCACAGCAAAGGATATCAGTCTCCCACCAATCCCAGTAGAGACCACCTCCCTCCAATCCCAGTGGAGAGCAGCTGCCTCCGCCCAATCACAGCAGACAGGACACCACTCCTCCACCAATCACAGCGAGGGGGAACGACTGCCTCCCACCAGTCCTGGGGATGCTCCCATCTCCCCCAGCACAGCTCCCATCCCACCAACCCCAGCACCTCACAAGCCGCTCCCAACCAATCAGGGCTGTGCAGGTGGCCAGCCACCAGCCAATCAGGACGGGAGGGGGTGGTACCTGTGCAGCGGGCGGGGGGCGGCTGGAAGGCGTAGAGGGGAGCCCCCTCCCCGGCAGCACCCAGCTCCTCCGCGTCGCCCAAGGAGCGCAGGAAGCCCCGCGGGGACACCTCGGCCAGGATCACCTGCGAGACGGCACCTGGCACCCTCAGTGTCCCTAATAGGGGGTGTCCCCCGCCCCGTACCCCCGCTCCGTTACCTGCTCTGGGGGGATGTGTCCCTCCCGCGCCACCATCTCCCGCAGCTCAGCCACAGTGCCGCGCAGGGGCACGGCCAGCCCCACCCGCACGAAGCGCCAGCGCTCGCACTGCAGCACCAGGGTGACATTGAGAGCCCTGGGGACACGGAGACACACACACCTCAGCAGGGAAAGCCACCGCATGCCGTGCTGAGACCCAACACCGCTCATGACCACGCCGGAGGGATCCACATCCCAACGTGGCAGCTCCAACTCCTGGGTAGCAAACACCCATCGGACACAGCTCCTGCAGCAGTGACCGTCACTTGTTCCAGTGCTGCCACAACCTCCCAAATTAATTATTTACCCCAAAATATGCAAATTACTCTCACTGGAGCCAAAACCCAACCGAGCAGCAGCCGTGCCTCTCACCGCACCGGCGAGCGGCTGGGGAGGCGCGGGGCCAGGCTCACCTGGTCTGGCGGAGTGGGATGGGCAGGGAGATGCACAGGAAGGGGTCGAAGGTGTTGCTCTGCTTCAGGCAGTGGGGGCACGTCAGGGAGGACCTGCGAAACACGGCCGGGGCGCGTCACCGGCGTGGGAATGGCACCCCCAGAGTCCCCACCCTGGGGCTGCAGCGCCCTGCCACTGGTGCCGCACCCCGGGTACCGCATCCCACAGGGCTCTGAAGGTCCCAGCATCACGCAAGGTTTGCATGACCTCCTGCAGGGCGAGGCACCGCAGCCCAGACCCACCTGCCCAGCTGAACGGTCTGTACACTCTGAAACCTAATGAGGGTGCCTGCAGTAACTTGTGCTACAGAAGCCAGAGTGAAATCCCAGGGCTGGGGCTGGGGGGTTTCCCACTCCCATGTGTGGCTGTGGCCCCAAAATCCCCCCAAATCCTGTTTCCTCTCCCAAGGGCTCGCAGAGCCCGGGGTGGCTTCTGGCTCCTGGAGGCTTTGGGGTGACCCCAGCCTGCCCAGTTGGGCATTAAGTGGGAACAACACCTTGGGGTGCTGGGAGGAGACAGGACCCCTCCTGAAAAACAGGGCTGTGGCTGGGCTGCAGGGAGGAGGCGGTGGTGGGCAGCAAACGGGCAGCTGCCTGCAGCCCCATGACAAACCCCGGTGCATTCCCCAGGGAGGCAGCGCTGGCCCCTTGCCCGCCCTGGCACCCACAGCCAGAGGCAAGGGCGGTGGAGGCACCGGCTGGTGACCATCCCACCCACAAACTGCCCCCAGGGAACACCGCGGTCCTGCCGCACTCCCCATCCACCTGCTGGGAACCAGCTGCCCACCAGCACCACAGGGCCAGATCCTGCACCTGCCGGGCTGGTATCCTCATCAGCACCACAGGGAGAGATCCTGCACCCACCAGGGATGTGCTCCCAGCACTCCCAGCCTGCCGGCACAGGGCTGGTTCCCACCACGGCACAGCCGCCGGCTCCAGGGGAGCCCTGGGGACAGTGAGGGGGGACCTGGCCACTTTGCCAGCGGACATGGGGCCAGTGGGGAGGCTTCCCCATTTCCCACAGCATCCCGCAGGAGATGCTCCACCAAAGCCCGGCTTAAGTGAACCTTTACTACCAACACCCACTTTAGGCCCTATTTTTTTTCAATTCTGTCTTTTATTTCTTTTTTTTCCCTCCTTTTTGTTCAACAAAAAGGGGAAAAGTAAATTAAAAATCAAATCAAAATCCTGAGCCCCTGTTATCTGTCACCTCGAAAAGCCACCGAGCTCCCCGGGAAGCAGCTGCAACAATTAATAAATCCTTTTGCGCACAGACGGGCTCTGGCACGTGGAAGGGGGTGGATGATTAAAGAATTTTTTTTCATACAAAAGGGCAAGGGATTTAGAGAGGAGGAAGGACTTGTGGTGCCAGATGTGTCCCCTCACCCCTGCAATGCCATGGGATGGGGACGGGGTGGCCAGATGCTGGCCCACCCGAGCATCCCATGAGTCTCAGCTGGATGAACATGTGGGGTGCCAATCACCCACATGCGGGGGCATCCCCACGCTGGTCCACTGGGACAGGCTTGGGACAACCCAGATCCTGAGTCCTGTGACAGAACCACGGAATGGGTTGGGTTGGACAGCCCCAACTCTCTCAGCCTTCCTCCACAGCAGAGGTGTTCCAGCCCTCTGACTATTTCTGTGGCCTCCTCTGGACCTGCTCCAACAGGCCCGTGTCTGTCTTGCCCTGATGGCCCCAGAGCTGGATGCAGTGCTCCAGGTGGGGTGTCACGAGAGCAGAGTAAAGGGGAGAATCACCTCCCTTGACCCGCTGGCCACGCAGGATCCAACAGGATCTGTCAGGCTTTCTGGGCTGCAAGTGCACATTGCTGTCTCATGTCCAGTTTTTCATCCACCGGCATCCCCAAGTCCTTCTCCATTTATCACCCAGTCTGTACTGGTACTGGGGACTGCCCCAGCCCAAGCACAGGACCTTGCACTTGGCCTGGCTGAACTTCATGAGGTTCACATGGGCCAACTCCTCCAGCCCATCAAGCCCCTCCGGACGGCATCTCCTCCCCTGGTGATCAACGGCACCACTCAGCTTGGTGCCACCTGCCAACTTGCTGAGGCCGCGCTCAATCCCACCATGTCATTGACGAAGATATTAGAATCACAGAATCGTTTAGGTTGGAAAAGACCTTTAAGATCATCGAGTCCAACCGCTAACCCAGCGCTGCCAAGCCCACCACTAACCCATGTCCCGAAGCACCACATCTACACGGCTTTTAAATACCCCCAGGGATGGGGACTCAGCCCCTGCCC